GTTTACAGTGCCTGGGGAGTGGGCTCCTGCTACCAGCTAGAACAGCTCAGTCAAAACCAAAGCAGAGCCTGAGTGGAGGAAGCAAAGAGGGGACCAAGCGGGGCTCCCAGCTTTTGGTCACCTGTTTGTCGATTCCACCTGTCGGTCCTTTCAAAAGGAAACCACCGGCTAAGTTCACAGAGTAGCGTACGCGATGCACAGATAGCTCATATTGCTCTTTATCAATTAATGAATGCATGGTGGTGTTGGAAGCTATAGTTAGTCAATTTCTAGTGTGCTGAGCCTGGTGAGCAATTCCTCTAAACTCTAACCTGGCCTTCCTCACCATCTCCTTCTCCTCCTCCTGTCCCCCTCAATGTTAAGACTAAGTGGATAGGATACGATGCATGCATCCCTTTCTAACAGGGTACCTAGACAGTCCACAAATATCTAGTCTGCTGACAGCCTTCTTAACCTTACATGTAAGCATTGGCTAACAAAAGTTTAGTAGCTTTAGCTGCCAACATTAGTAAATGGCTATTCTCACAACTCAGACAAACAGTGTTTCTCCTGGCAAGTTTTGCAATCTTGAGCAAGATGTTTCTATGTACCAATATTTTCTATGTACCTATTAGAGAGGGGAATTAGCTACTCAATTATTAGCTGCGGTTTTACTTTATTATACCGCATCTATGAGATGTGTAATTTTAGAGAGTCAATAGTGATAAAACTCTCCTAAAGTTTACAATATGCTTGGTAGTTTTTCCTTCTTGACTTTCACCATGGAGATTAAGGTATAAGGCAGACAAGGTACATGGAGATTGCTTTTCCCAGAAACGTTGCTGCATGACCCTCCCCTGTACAATGGGGTGCCAACACTCCTGCTATTCATGTTTCCCATCTTGGATTTGACACCTGCAACTATGCTGAAAGTAACCCTGTGTGACCTCATGGGTTAAGTCATAAAGGTGAAGTAGCTTGTGCTTAGGGTTTCAGATGCAAGCTCTTCAAACCCATCCACTATGCCGTGAGAACACGTACAGGGCTGTAGATAGGCATTTCATATCATGGCTTTGGCTGACCTTCTAGAGAACAATCAGAATCAATGGGAGTGCGAATGAGAAAGTGCAGGCGGAGTTTTCCTGTGCTGCAGCTGTCCCCAAATAATTAGTCAGAATCTTAATATTAATTGTAAATGTTCAGCCAATAGCTCAGACTTACTACTAGCTATGACTTCCATTTAAATTAGCCCCTATTTCTTATCTATGCTTTGCCACATGACTTGGTACGGCATGCCTAACTTGTGTCTCTCTGTGTCTCTGGCAGCCGACTCTGACTCCGCCCTCCTTCCTCATCCCATCATTCTCAGTTTGGCTTTCCCACCTAACTGTATCCTGTTCAGCTATTGGCCAGTCACTTTGTCTAGTAAACCAATTATAGCGACATATATTCACACAGCGTACAGAAGGATTATTCCACAGCAAGAAGGACTTCAGCATGCTTCTAGCAGCAAAAAACAAACTGGGTATGAAAGAAAGCCCAGCAGGGGTTGCCCAGCTGGACTAAGAACACCCCAGCACAGGAAGCACTGATAATTGTGGGGCTAGTTGTATGTCAACTTCAGACAAGGAAAGAAAAATAGGCTCAAATAACCTCCTTAAGATGGGTCTGCAGACAAATCTGTGGAGCATCTTCTTCATTAGTGGTTGATGTGGATAGACCCGGGGCAATGTGGGTGGTGCCATCCCAGGGCTAGTGGTCCTGAGTTCTGTAAGACAGCTGGCTAAGTACTTCTTCACAGCCTCTGCATTAGCTCCTGCCTCCAGGTTCCTGCTCTGTCTGAGTTCCTATACTGACTTCCCTCTCTGATGAACAGTGATGTGAAAGTATACGCCAAATAAACCCACCCCCCATTGGCTTTGGTCCTGATGTTTAATAGAAACCCTAACTAAGACAGAAATTGGTACCATGATATTGGGGTATACCTGACCATGTATTTTCAAAAGGACATGTATTTTCAAAAGGATATGTGGGGTATACCTGACCATGTATTTTCAAAAGGACTGCGGAACGACTTTGGAACTTTGGGCTAGAGAAGTCGCTGATTGTCCAAAGCGTAGCGAGCTGTTCCGTGGGAGTTTGGAAGAGAAGAATGTTGAGAGGAATGCAGATCCCGGAGGCCTGGCTTGTGAAGTTTGAGAGGCGCTCCAAGTCTCTGTTCGGGCCATTGACTATTTTGAGTTAAGAAACAGTGGTTCAGGTTCGCCGGGGCTGAAGAAATCCCTTGTGACTAACAAGATTCCAGGCCTACTGAGGTGAAACCCTTTGCTTTGCTGGGACAATTGATGCTGGTCAGCTGAAGCCGAGAAATTCGTGGTGATTAAGGGACCAGCTTCACTGAGGTGAAAGCTTCTGGAAAGTGTTTCCTGACAGCACGTAGAAGCCGTGTTCCAGAGATGGCCAAGGTTGCTTGCACTGGTAGCTGAACTCGGTAATGTAAGAGTTGCCCAGGTGATACTGGTTTTGAAGGCATCAAGGGGTCATGGAGAACAGCTGAGGCTAGACAGTCGCGTGTCAGGACTGGAGTCCCTAAAGAGAGCTCAGGAGAGGCTATTGGTGACAGTGCATTCTAGTTGGAGCAGAAAACCCCAGTATTTTGGAGGTGCCAGGACCATGGGATGACCACCAGGAACAGTTGCAGTGGTGGGGCGGAGCCAGCCTGAGCCTGTGTGTGCTGCAGAGGGTGGAACTGGAGAAGTGACCCAAGCTCTATGGAGGAGCTCAGAACACTGTAAGGAGATCCTAGACATCGGTCACTGAGTTATTTACACAGCAGGAATTTGGTTTTACTTTATCCGGAGTGTGTCTGTGCCCTGCTTCTTCCCTCTTGAAATAAAGGAATGTTTAACTTAGTTTTTATCTTGCAGGAGTCCACAGTTAAATGACTCCGAATCTTTAAAGAGATTTTGGATTTTAAAAAAGACCGAATTTTAAAGTGTTTGCGTTTGTGAAGACTGGAACTCTTTAAGTTTGTAAAATGTTTAATGTGGTAGTGTCAATATTAATGTATAATCTTGGGCACGAACAAGAAAGGAAAGGTTGTGGCTTCACCGTGAAGCGTTTGTGTGTCAAGCGGAAAAGCGGTCAGTTGTGCTGGTTAGTTTGTCAGCTTGACATACAAGCTAGTTTCACCTCAGAGGAGGGAACCTCAGTTGAGAAATGTCTTTATAATGTCAGGCTGCGGGCAAACCTGCATTTTCTTAACTGGCGATTGATGTGGGAAGGCCCAGAGCATTGTGGGTGGGGCTCCCTGGACTGGTAGTCCTGGGTTCTGTATGGAAGCAGGCTAGGATCCTGGAGAAATGGCTCGGAGGTTAAGAGCACTGGCTGCTCTTCCAGAGGTCCTGAGTTCAATTCCCAGCAACCACATGGTGGCTCACAACCGTCTATATATCCTATTATAGATAATAATAGATAATAATAATAACCTCTTCGGACATGCAGGTGTACAGCCATAGCACTCATACATAAAATATAAATAAATAAATAAGAGAGTAGGCTAAGCAAGCCAGTAAGCAGCACCCTCCATGACCTCTGCATCAGCTCCTGTCTCCCTGTCTGAGTTCCTGTTCTGACTTACTTTGATGATGAACAGTAATGTGGAAGTGTAAGCCGAATAAACCCTTTCCTCCCACAAGTTGCTGTAATTTTAAACTACTAAGTTGGAACACATGCCGTAATAGGTTACTGAAATAGGAATGGTATTCTCTTTAGTGTCCAAAGTAGGTTTTTGAGGTCTGCAGTGGTCACCAAATTACCTATTTGGGGCAGGGTGGGGGAGAATGGTTTCTTTTGCTCACACAGCCGTAAGCTATAGGAAGAGCTGTCCGATTAGGCTGTCTAGATACAGCACACAGTGATCATCTCAGCTCTTAGTGTAGTCAAGCCTATAGAGAAAACCTCAGGAGCCCGACAAGATTCATTCCAAGAATTACGACATAGAAAAAAACAGCAATGACATACCACATACAAAAATTGATATCATATTTGACTTTTAAAATTTTTTCTGTAGGGCTTTTTTCTTGTCTGCTTTATTAATGCCAAACCCTCAAAGCCTAGGGGAGTGCCTTGCACAGGCACTCAATAAAAATGTGTTAAATAAAGAAAGAGTGAATGGCCATTGTGATGCTTAGTGTTAATTGTTCACTTGACAGAAGTCTAGAATCATCAGGGGATTGTTGAGACTGTCTGTGCTTATTGAGGTGGAAATAACCACCCACTGTGGGCGGTACCAACCCTAGGCTGGGAATTCTGGACTGTGTCAGAGTAGAGAAAGTGTGCTCAAGGTCTAGCCTGTCTGCCTGTAGTCATGGCTCTCTGCTCCTGATAACAGGTGCGACGTGACCAGCTCCCTCCAGCTCCTGTGGCTGTTACATCACTGCTATGACAGACTGTAACCTGAAACTGAGAGTTGAACAAACCCCGTCTCCTGTCAGTGGCTTTTGGCTGAATCCTTTGTCACTGCAAAAGGAAGAGAAACCAGGACAAAGGCTGACGTGTCTGGCAGAAAGCTTATTTCTGGAGGGTAGGATTTTGTGTGGGTTTTGTTAGTTGTTTCTTTTTTCCTCCTAATTTCTCCACCGTGCTCGTGGACTACTTGCACAGCATCCTTATAAAATGCCACGGTGCTTTGTTTTAGAGCAACCGCAATTCTCGGAAAGGCCCTTGGGAGAACCTCTTTCTGTTGTGGGTTTTTTGTTTGTTTGTTTGTTTTATTTTGGTTTTGTTTTAACATGGAAAGGAAAACAGAGTTCAGCTTCCATGCCAATTCTTATTGGCTATTTCTAGTGCAATTACTGCACAAGCTCTGAAGGATTTTGAAGCTGATTAGTGATGCCTGCCATGGAGCAGGTCTGGAGAAGAGGAAGGTTCACTTGCCTTGTGAATACATGCCTTGGGCAGTTACTGCTGTCTTGGATCTTTACAAAGCAATGCTCTTTATTAGCTCTTCAGTCTGGGTTAGCACTTGTGTGTTTTTGTTGAACTGGTAGCCACAGACATAAAGCAGGTTTGAAAACAATCTGTCGTTTGCAATCCAGAGCTCGTGCTTCACTATGAGTTTTCATATATTTAAGAAAGAATATGACGCTCGAAACAGTTCAAAGTGGCGATGCTATCGAACAAAGAGCGAATAATATAAAAGCATAGCGAGGCTGGAGACGGCTCATTGGTTAAGAGCACATATTACTTTTAAAGTTGTTCTGGGTTCTAACACCCATGTTGGGTGGCTCACAGCTACCTGTAACTCTATCTTCAGGGGGCTCTGCCACCTCTGGCCTCCAAGTACCACCTCTATTACCACATGACTGTGGCTTACCTGCAAGATTCTAACCTATGTCGTCTCAGGTCAGAGAATCATGGCGTCTGTCACACTTCCCTTCTCCCCAGCCTTCTGTTCTGTCTACTCCACCCACCTAAGTTCTGCCCTATCAAATGGCCAAGACAGTTTTCTTTATTCAACCAATGAAAGCTACACATAGAAAGAAGACCCTCCTACATCAGCCACTCACATGCCCACGGACAGATTACAAACGTGCGCATAATTATAAATAATAGGCTGTTGTTAAAAAGAGAAGCAGAGACAGCGTGACAACCAGATGCACTGGGTCAGCATTCCAAGTTTCACGTGCTGAATGAAGATTTTTACCTCCTTTTTTTTTTTTTTTAATGAAAGCAAAATGTCAAGGCAGTAAGGCAGACTGGTGCCCACCTCCTCCAACTGAAGATGCTTATATCATCATAGTTCTTGGGCTGGAGGTGGAAGTCAGTCTTGACCAAACTGAGAGTTGGGTGGTCACTGGCTGTGCTGTGATTGGCAGTCCAGCGTGACTTATCTGTCCATTGTCATTGCTGTGTGACTGTGTTAGGTCACGTGACAAAACAAACTTAAGAGGCAGGTGAACTGAAGTTGCCAATCATTTGTCGTTAAGTAGGGAAAGAATCTTGAGTTTCCACTAAAACCACGTCTTTAAAAGTAGAAGAGAGGGGCTAGAGAGATGGCTCAGAGGTTAAGAGCACTGACTGCTCTTCCAGAGGTCCTGAGTTCAATTCCCAGCCACCACATGGTGGCTCACAACCATCTGTAATGAGATCTGGTGCCATCTTCTGGTATGCAGGTAGAAATGGAAGGAATGTTGTATACATAATATATAAATTTTTAAAAAAAGTTTTTAAAAAAAAGTAGAAGAGAAAGGCAAAACAAATCAACCAAAGCCAGACAGAGAGGACTTTTTTTTTTTTTAGCTGAAAAAGAGAATCAGGAGACAGTGAGTTGGTAGCCTGAGCAGTCTGCCTGAAGGCAGATCAGGGGAGCCAAGACTGAGGAGCTAGAGAGGATGGAAAAGGCCAGAAAATTGAACCCTAGAACCAAGGAGAAACGTAGCCTACTCCCACGTTGATATGAGCCCTCAGGGATGCATGTTAGCGTTCTAACCCACAGGTCTATGTAATAATAAATTTGTGTTGTTTAAACCACCAAGTAACTGATTACAGCTGAAATAGAAAACCAGTCTGTGAAACACGCTTGTTTTCCTTTATGAAGGAAAGGACTGTTGGCAGCGCCTTCCAGCTGTTAATCACGTCTTTTGCAGCTCTCTTTTCTAGCTCTTCTCTAGTTGGTTCTCAAGGTTTGAGGATCGTGCCTCTCAACCTTGAGAGTTGTATGAAGCGATATGAGAAGAAAGCAACTTTCAATCCTGCTGATAAATGGTTTTTAATCCCCTTTTCTCCCAGCTAGCGTTTGTCTATCCAAGGAGACCGCAAGCCATTGCATAATTGCAGTTGTGTGTTCCATAATGACGGGGGTTATGTTCTGCAAATGAGACGTTACTTAATTGTGTCACTGTGTGAACGAGAGAGCATGCTTATCCGAATTATGGGGCTAAAATGTCACAGGTACTGCAGGTACTCCTGGGGACCCACTGTTGTGTATGATGTTGGTCAAAGCATTGATAGTTGGTGGGTGACAGACACGTCATGCTGACCTGCTGATCCATCTCACCAGCTCATATGGTTGTCTCTTAAAGGTGCAATAGTTCTAATATTTAATGATAGTCAATGCAATGTTTACAGTATTGCTTCAATTTTTGTTCATATTCTATTTATTTACTTACTTCCTAAATTGTGAAGGAAGACCTTGAACTCCTGATCCTTCTGCCTTCTCCTCCCAAGTGCTGGACTCCCAAGCTATGTGACATCATACCTTGTTTGTTCAATTTTAGATGCACATGAAAATTAATGTCTATGCTATACCTTACACCAGCTAAGTCTGAATTCTTGGAGTGAATTTAGCCACTAGCTTTTTTTTTTTTTCTGTTCTGGTTTTTCAAGAAAAACCTGTCATGGAGCTAACTCTGTAGACCAGGGTGGCCTTGAACTCAAGAGATCTGCCTGCTTCTGCCTCCCAAGTGCTGGAATTTAAGCTCCAGTACCACCTGGCTGATACAGAAACTTCTGACCTAGAATTGCAGACTGAATTGTGTAGATATCTTCCTTTAACTGGTTTGTTTTCTGGAGATACCTTCAGTTTATATACACTTTATTTTTGTATAGATGTATACATATATGTATGTACAAAAAAGGCTAGTTGTATAGATATGTGTATACACACACACACACACACACACACACACACACACACATATATTTGCTTATATAAAACTGTCTTCTTTTGAAATTTACCAGAAAGTAAATTTTTCAGGTCTTTGAGATTAATGACATTGTTTCTCTTAGACTGTAGATTTGTGTGTTTGGGGTGTGTGTGTGTGTGTGTGTGTGTGTGTGTGTGTGTAGGTGTGGAAGGTATGTGTGTTGCTGAGAATTAAAACCACACTACACAGTTTCTTTACTACTGAGCTATATTCTTTGCTCATTTATTTATAGTGAGTTTCTTGAGTCTGTTGGGGGTGTTTATGACTTTTTTCTTAAAGTTGGATATAATATATTTTTTCAATCACATTTATTGTTCCTGCTTTCATCGTCACTATTACTAGTATGTATTTAGAGACCAAAGTCTATTTCTGTTGAGCCAACCATGTTATATTGATACCAAGATAAAAACCTCAGAAACAGGAAAGCCCATTCAACTGGGCTGTAAATAAAGGAAATCCTCACAAAGGTGACTCTAGCCTGGGGAACCTTGGTTCTTTTGGCAGGCCTGGAAAATTCCTATCTCCTGGGGCTAAGCAGGAAATCTAAATGAAAAGGACCAGTGTGCTTAAGGCAGGACCAGAGAGAAGCTGAGGTAGACAGTTTGCTAGACAGTCCACTTCTTAAAGAAGTCCGTTCAGAACCCGTTTAAAACATGTCGTCATTCATATCAAACATGTTTGGGCTTGGGGCTTTGCCCACTGACGTCCAATTCACACTGTTTGAGCCACAGACAATGGTGGGCGGATGGGGTGAGCATCCTCCAGGCCTTCTCCTTGGACTCCAGCCTTGATTAGAAAGACAGCCGATGGTGTAATCTTCCTTTTGTTTTCTTCTTCCCATAAGAAATAAGATTTTTCATGACTGTCGTCAAGGAGACCCAGATCATCAGGATAAGTTTATGTGATTATGTATCATGCTTTTTACATTGTCACATAATTCACCCGCACTTTAGGAAACATAACTATTTGACCTGATAGCTAGAGATGGTAGCCTAGGTGGAGCTCTTTGTGTTAGGTGATGTGATTGCCTGGAGTCCTGACTTTGTGTGATCTGCATAGCTCCTATTTACTGTTTCCTAACAGACTTAGTTGGTATGGAATTAGGGATACGCCTGATCCATGCCATCATTAGAGCAGCAGTATGGACCTGTTAAGGAAAAACTTGGCAGTCAAGGGACAAAAAAGACTCTCTGGCCTGGGTGGGGCCTAACACTGCAGTTGGGCCAGGTCAGACACCTCAAGGAACCACCCCTAGGAAGGTGGAGCCACCTTAACCCATGCTAAAGAGATAGGAAAAATCTTTTAATGAGATACTGTCATTTTGTCATTCAAAATTCTTACCCCTGAGTACAATCCCTAGGACCCCCATGAGTTTGGCTGGGTCTTCCCACCTTTCTGAGGCCCCCAGAAAGGCGCAACTTTGCTTTTTTTTTTTTTTTTTTTTTCTGTCTCTTTCTTTTGGATGCTGGCCAGATCTAAGTATACTTTTGCTGGTGTTTTGGGCCTCATTACTCTGTTGAAAACTCTCCCCTATACTATGTGTCCCCCAAGTCAGACCTGGACCAGCTTGTCCCCTCACTCCAGCTACCGACGTGGAGAGCTTGCCTGCCCTGGGCGTTTTTCTTTTAAACTCTAATAACTGTGTTCTTGACGTTCTGTGCGAGTCCATTTTAAATTTGTTTTAGTAATGAGGCGAAGAACCCCAAGAGGGGAACCCAGTTTTCCCGGTGTCATCATGGAAGATCTCATGGCATTGTGGCAACAGCGGCTTTTGAGGAAGAGGGAACCGGGGAAGGAGCTGGTTCACAGTTGGACAAGAGCAGCTCGTGGCAGAGCCGGTCCGACAACAGGGGCGCTTGGGAGGCTGATGCCGAGGACTGAAAGTCTGAGGCTAGCTTGGCTTACATTGCAGACCCAGGACAGCCTGGGTTGTAAAGGGAGATTTTGTTTTTAAGAACATAAAACAGCAAAACGAAAGCCGTGAAATTATTTACTTAAAAGAAGTTTTTAAATGGACCTCTTCCCTCTTCTTAGTCCTTATCCGTTCAACTAGACACAGGCATTCTTTCCCCCCTGGTCTCATGATCTGCCCAAATCCATGGCTTCTCTGGCATTCTCCCTCTCGGCTCTGCTCTCCTTGGGGTTAGTGCTTTGGGTATTGTGTAAGGATCCACACTGGCTGTGCTAGGTAGCTTGGGAGTTCTAAACAGTGTTATTTGAGTTACTTGCCACGCAAGTTAATAGGAGTCTAACAACCATTTTTACTGCCCACTGAACTTGCAAAAATGCTGTTCCTCAATAAACATAACGGCTCGCTCCCTTTCAACTCAACCTGGTGGCCAGGTTTCCTTGAACACGCTAATGGTAAGCTTCCAGTTCCACACCATACACTTGATACTCAGAAAAACCAGTTTGGCTTTCCCTTTTGCTACAAAC